CCACTTATAAAACATGTGAAATTGGGTCAATTTTAAGCTTTGTTCTATGCTTCAGTTTCCCCATCTGTAGAATAGGCAAATAATAATACTTACTGTGAAGAGCTGTTACGAAGATTAAATAATCAAAACTCCTTGGTGTGCAGTAAGCCCTCAAGGTCAATGTTAACTGTTATTGCTATCACATAGGACTCGATCTAGAAATAGAAAAGATAGGGAAGTTTGGACTGAATATACTGAGAATGTGAGGATATCTCCTAGAAATTGGTTGTCCTGTTTTCACATTTATAGTGTGTGTAGTGGAAAGAACATTAACCCCTTTATTTGTAGTTAAACTTGCCCGTGCCCTTGCCTGAAAATGGAGCTAGCAATATTGCTGGGACTCTTGCATCTTACGTATGAGAGTGCCTGGAATTTCAATATACAATACTTTTCTTCAGACAGAGTCACATACGAGGAAGTAATTCCCTTTAATTAAGAGTGTTGATGAGTTGGGTTCTGGTTAATTGAACTGTAATATGTAAATCAACTTAATAGTGGACTGGCTCTGCCAGATAAACACACAGCACCTGGTATAGTTTGGTTGAGCACCTTTGTCTGATTTTGAAAAACTCTGTCCCTTCTGTGACTTCTTCACATTGGGATCCCTCAACTCAGCCTGCAGTCAGCTGGCATTCTCAGTTGAAAGAAGGATTTCCTGAAGGTTTTAGAAGATTTTAATTGTTGGACTTGATAAAATTGATTTAAATTAATCCAAGCCAGTTTCAGACAATGGAACAATAGGCTGGTACCTCATCACTCATTTTTTAAATAAAAGGAGAAAAATGGGAAGTGTTCCAAATTGAGTCACAGGCAGTGGTGAGGATTAAATGAGTAAACATCGTGGGCTTTAGAGAGATAGATATTTGATGAGAATTAGAATCCCCAGCATTTTACCATTTATCTTCCTTTGTAGGATGGCTTCCTAGCACTGCACGTGGCAGCTCATCGGGGAATAGAGAAGAAATGACAGAGTCCCTGCCCTTGAGAAGCTGATACTCCAGTGAGAGAAGAAAACAGGCAAAGAGAAAGATGTCACAGTGACAAAGTAACACTGAAATAAATGTAGAAGAGAATTGTGGGGATTCAGTAAGGTGGGAATGAGTAGAGTGCATTGAAGTGAGACTCACCCTGGAACCCTGTCCAGTGATACTGTCTCAGTCGGTTCCAGCTACTATAATGAAATACCATAGACTGTGTGGCATGTAAATAACAGAAACTTATTTCTCACAGTTCTGAAGGCTTGGAAGTCCAAGATCAAGACACCAGCAAATTTTGTGTCTGGTGAAGGCCCACTTTCTGGTTCATAAACGGCACTTTCTAGCTGTTTCTTTATACGACAGAAGGGCTAGCTAGATTTCTGGGATCTCTTTTATAAAGGCACTACAAATTGTGAGGGCTGCACGCTTATGACCTAATCATCTCCCGAAGACCCTTTCTCCTAATACCATCACCTTGAGGGTTAGGATTTCAACATGAGAATTTTGAGACGACACAAACATTCAGCCCATAGCAAATACCAAGCTTTTTATGGATTCATGCTATTTCAGAGAATTGTACTGGTTGGCTGTATCCTTATTCTGATTATTATCACCTTAAAATAGGGATTCTCAATTTTGGGAATTACTGACATTTTGGGCCAGATCATTTTGTTGTAGGGGCTGTCCCGTGTGTTGTAGGATGTCTAGCAGCATCCCTGGCCCCTCCCCACTAGATGCCACTAGCACCTCATCTACTACTCCTCCCCGTGTCCCCTACTTCCTCAGTATGATGACCCCAAATGTTTCCATACCTTACCAAATGTTCCCTGGTGGGCAAATTGCCCCCAGTTGATGACCATTGTGTTTAAAGAATTCATTTCAACTATTTTATTGGCCCCTAAGGCACCAGCCTCCCTCTGAAGCTGTGTCCATGGGAATGCTATCTGTCTGGCTGCTTGTGGGTCTCTCCAGCACTGACTGACTAAGTCACACTGGCAGCCATGGGTGAGACTTCCTCAACGTGCGTGGAGCAAATGCCTACGATGCCAGGCTGCAAGGTTGCGTTTCTGCATTTCTAGGTGTTGGGGGATACCGTGATTATTTTCCAAAGTAATCTAAATTTTGTCTCCAGGGATCCTTGCCCCTCCTAAATGGGTATTTTCTTGGAATAATGACAGCTCAATTGTTTATGGAGCCTTTATTTAATATTTGACAATATCTAGGAGAAAGTCATAAACATTTAGTTCAATTATTAAAATAAAACCTGTAGGGTATCTCCCCAAAAGAGTATCCAGAATCATTATTTTAATTTAAGCATAACTCTAAAAGGGGACTGGGAAACCTACAGTGGGGGAGATAAATTTTCAAGTGTCATTTTAGGAAAACAAAGGCTTTCTTTGCAAGAAAAAACATCCACTTCCCCCCGCTAGTTACAGGCTTAATGTTACTAATAAGTTAGATGTCAGATGTATGCCGTTATTGGCAGCTTGCATACAATTTAAATATTTTAGCTTCCATTATACAACTGAATCTACATGACTGACCTTCAAGGACCCCATTCATAAGAGATGAAGAGAGGGAACAGCCAGCTACTTCATGCAAGGGCTGGCCCGCAGACTGGGTTTCCCCACATTGTCAGACACACCACGACGCAGGGAGCTCTTTGGAGACGCTCTAACACGGCAGGGTTGGGACGGAGAATGATGGGGGTGGGGGCACACTTTTGGGGCAGGGAGAGAGCCAAGGCTTGTTTTTCTTTTTGAAAAATCCCGCCTTTGTTCCAAGGGAGAATGAAATACCCGTTAAAACTGGTGACACTGGGAATTTTGTTTTGGCTCAGTTCCTTTTGTTGTGACTCCACGGTAAAGGAGAGGAATCTGGGGTAAGGAGGTTTCAAGCCAAGATGAGAAAGAAAAAGCATGCCTTCCAAGAATTTCTTCTATTGTCTCCCGGAGAATAAATATTTATAGAGAGGGTTCAAGTGAAGTCTGTCTCAATGGTCGTGGCTTTAAGTCTAAGCCTTTGAGAGAGTGCATGTAAAACTATGCTTAAATGAAGGGTGATCCAATTAGGCTTCCCAGGGAAAACCAAGAAACCTCAAGATAATTTCCTATCTGAAATCTAATTGTGTCCTCAAGTGGAATACGAATACCACTTTGAATTACCCCAGATCCATAGACGGCAGCAAAAATGTACAGCCAAATTGGATTCTATTTTAAGTAATTAAGTTATTTCCCTTCACAGGATCTATAATTTGCCTTGAACAAATGTGATTTGCCTCAGAAAGATAAGGCATTGCAATTTTTCCTCCAAAATGGATTTTCTGTGCCAGAAACAATTACTAAAAGTAGACCAAATATTGCCCTAATTATAACCTACTTATTATCTGAGTGTATGCCTGGAGTACCCTGTTTGTGTTCCAATGTGAGGTAGGTATGGCTAGTTTAGAAATTATCTTTAAATGGAAACTGAAGCTGAAATTTACTCAAGAGCCTGGGGTTTGCACAATGGTCATGTAAATAGCAACGGGTGGTTACATAAGTCTCCAAAATCTTGTGCAAAATGTGAGCAACAAGGAGCTTGCTTCAGTAGACCTTCCTTCTGACTCTAATAAATAACAGTATTAACTTGTAGCTGCTTGGCTGAGTCCTTGAGGAGGTGCTAGGTGTTGCAATAGTTTAAGAATAAAAGTGTTGAGATTTGCATAGAAGATATTACAAGAGGAGTATTTTGGTCATGGTTAATTTTGTGAAGAAAACATTCACTTTTGGATTTCTTTATTAGCAGTTCAGTTGACTTATGCCCAGGTGTTCTGAAGGACAATAGTGGGTAATAGTTAAAAGCAAGAGCTGGAACAATTTAAACAGAATTAGTTCTTGACTCTGCCCCCTTGAAAGTGCCATGTATGGAGTCTCTGAATCTCAGTTCTCTTGTCTGTGAAAAGGGAGTGATGGTTATCTACACTAAGACTGGATGAGGAAAGCACACACTGCCTGGCATTGCACAGACCTGGGTTTCACAAGTGGATGGTGGAGTAAAATCCAAACATGATTGCAAACCTTTTCTTCTTTATACATGCTTATCCTTCTGAAAGATGATCTTGCATACAAATGGGTGCTGGCTGGCCATTTCTAAACTTTCATGTGAATTTAAAGTGGTTAAGGCTTCAGATTCGTAAGTCATGTTACCCAGTTTCAAATACAGGCTTTGCTACTTACCACATGCCTTTGTTACTTAGGCTTTCTGTGCCTCCGTTTCCTCTTCTGTAAGATGTAATTAGTAACAGAAGCAGAATCTATCACAGAGTTGTGATAGGGGGTAAGTAAAATACTACAATGAAATACTTAGGATAGTGCTTTGCCTACCATAAACGTATCTATTATTATTTTTGTCTTCTGCCAGCCAAAAGAATGTCAACAGAAATCAGAACATAACACTAAGTAAGTTTAACATGTACTTTTATTAACAACTTAATACAAGACTGTACACTGTAGGGGCTGAAATCAACCCACTCCTGAAAACTGAAAAACCAGCATTTCTATGTCACTTTGGGCTTTGGCTCTAAGTGCCATCTTCTACAGAAAAATCACATGGTGTAGCCAAACGTCTTAAGAACAGGAAGAAAGAGATGTTCCACGGGAATGGAGAGATTATTTATGCATAAACAGCTGGGGATCATTTCTAGCTTTACGTGATTCACTACACGCACTGGAATGTTCAGTTCCCTTTTCTATAGTCCTACCACCAGACATACAGCAACGAAGAACTTGGCCACAGGTCCTGCCTAGACACACATCAATATGAAACAAAAAAAAATATTTATATAAATAAGTCAATTAAACCTCACAAAAACTAAAGAAACACAAGACAAAAATCCAACAAGCAATAAAAACTGTACAATATTGGTCAGTCTTTTATATCTGAAAAATGTGTAACTTAAAAAAAGAGTTCTTTATCGTATAAGAAAAGTCTTTCACATCTGTGTTAGCTGGAGTGAAAACTTGAAGACTCAGACTCAGTGGAAACAGACGAGTGTCCCCCTCGCTTTCCTTTGGAGAGGATCTTGAGGCTGGACCCTCTGCTCACAGAGGTGAGTGCGTGCTGGGCAGAGGTTTTAAATTTGGCTCCAAGGAAAGCATAGAGGATGGGGTTCAGACAACAGTGGAAGAAAGCTAGGGCCTCGGTGATGGAAATCCACTTGTGCACAGTGTTCTCAAACTCACACCCTTGCTTGATGATTTCCAGGAGGATGAAGGAGTCGATGCTGATCCCAATGTAATAAGGCAGCCAGCAGGCGAAGAAAGCCAGGATGAGGATGACCGTGGTCTTGAGGGCCTTGCGCTTCTGGTGGCCCTTGGAGTGTGACAGCTTGGAGATGATAATGCAATAGCAGGACAGGATGACGATACCAGGCAGGATAAGGCCAACCATGATGTGCTGAAACTGGAACACAACCACCCACAAGTCATTGGGGTAGAAGCGGTCACAGATATATCTGTCATCTGCCTCACTGACGCTGGCAAAGATGAAGTCGGGAATAGTCAGCAGGAGGGCAGGGATCCAGACTCCAACATAGACCACCTTTTCAGCCAACAGCTTCCTTGGCTTCTGACTGTTGGTGGCGTGGACGATGGCCAGGTAGCGGTCCAGACTGATGAAGGCCAGGATGAGGACACTGCTGTAGAGGTTGACTGTGTAGATGACATGGACTGCCTTGCACAGGAAGTTCCCAAAGTACCAGTTTGCCACGGCATCAACTGCCCAGAAGGGAAGCGTGATGACAAAGAGAAGGTCAGCCACTGACAGGTGTAGCCTGTACTTGTCCGTCATGCTTCTCAGTTTCTTCTGGTAACCCATGACCAAGATGACCAATCCATTGCCAACAATGCCAGTCAAGAAGATGATGGAGTAGATGGTGGGCAGGAAGATCCTATTGAAATGAGCATTTTCTTCACGGAAGCAGGGTTCCTTTATGGAGTCATAGTCCCCTGAGCCCATTTCCTCGGTGTAGTTATCTGAAGTGTATATCTGCAAAAGAGGCAAAAGAATGGACATTCACTTCCAATTCAGCAAGCATTATCCAAGTTAAAAAAAAATTCAAAGCAATTTAAAAAACCAATTCAGGCTTGCTTTCTTCAGGAAATTCTGAAGAACTGGACTAAGGGCACAAGAGAATTAATGTAGAATCCTACAACTCTCCTCCCCATCTTTTCCCATAGTGACTTCATTATATTCTTCTTTAGTAGAACCAATTACAAAATTCTTTGTTTAGAACAAAAGGGCGCTGCGATGCTGAGGGTTTCAAAGTCACATCTTGGCTAACTCCTCTGCCCCGCCCACTAGAGGGAGGAAAAAAACCTTCCTTAGGAGGAAAACACACACACACACACACACACACACACACACACACACACAAAGAGGCCACTCCCAGGCGGCGTGGGGGGTGGGGTGGGTGCTGCGAGGAGGGGCTGTGATTAACTTTTTGTATGAAGTTTTTCGCCAAGGGAGGGAAGAGGGGAGGGAGGAGCACGGGGGGAGGGCGGGGGCGTTGCAAAGACTCATTCTCCTACGGCGCAAAAACTCAATTTTCCCACGCCTGCCTAAACACAAATCATTCTGCGCTTCCAGCAACATGTAGTGGGTAAAGAGAATGCGGTCTTAAAACGAAGGCCCTTTGGTGCTTGGAGTATATTGGGCGGGAGTGTCAGAATTTGAACAAACGGCACCTCCTCCCCCAAGCGGCCGCTCCTCCGGGGCGTGGGTCTCTTTTGCCATCCTCGTGTTTATCACTTGGTGCGTTTGGGACGTTAGGGAACACGGCATTTTCCTGGGTGGAGAAGGTAACGGGGTCTGCACCCGTAGTCCTCGCCCCAAGTTTCATTTCCTCACTCTCCCGGGTGGCCTCCCATTACCCCGCCACTGATCCAGTTAACCCGGCCGGAGGCGGGCAGCTGGAAGCCTCCAGGCAGTGGGCACGCGGGGAGCCGGGTTGTCCAGCCCCGGTCCGCCGCGGCTGCCCACCACGCCCACACCGACCGGCCGCAAGCAGCGCTGCAGGGGCTCCGCTGGGCGACACGCCAGGCTCTGTCCCACAGGGTGCTGGGGAGAGACTGGGCGGCTCCGCCGCGAGCGTCTTTGAATTGCGCGCCGCTGCAGGAAACCAAAAACTCCCTAGCAAGAGGGTTTCAAAAGGCTTCTGGAAATCACCGACAGTTAAACATCGCAACTGGACTCGGAGAGAGCCAAACGGTTTCCCCACTTGCACCTGCCCGTCTTCGCGGCGGCGACCCGGCAGCCCAGGTGCGGTCCTAACCTCCCCCGCCCCCCCACCCCCATACCCGCTCCTGTACCCGGAGCGCGTGTCTCGGGGCTGGCAGCTGCGCGGTGTCAAAGGGGAGGTCAAACCACTCCTCTGACCTCTGCACGATCCCAAACTCTCGAACTGCCGGACACATGCGCGGCCGTGGGGAAGAAGCGCGCTTTGGCCGGCGGAAAGGTTCCCCCCTCAAACCCAAAGCGCGCGGGCCGATCAACTCCTAGCTGCTGCCACCACTCGATCCCCTCAGAGGATCCGCGCGGTGGGTCCACCCGCCTTTCCCGCCCTCCGCCTACTGTGCCGGGACACTGGCACAGCTCCGTGGGCCGCGCAGAGTTTCACAAACACGCACCCAGCGTCAAGAACAGTCACCAGGCGCTTATCCCCGAAGTTAAAGCGGGCGCAATGTCCTTCTGGGAACTCCGCCCAGGCACGCTGCCCTCTGCCTCTAAATTCAGAAAATGTAACTCGCTCCAAGAAATCCCCGCTTCCCCAAGGAAGAGACCGGTGGTCTGAGTCCCGAGGTAGCGCGCACGCCTTTTCTGCACTTGTGCACAGAATGTTCTTATGTTTGCAAACAGCATGCAAGCCGCCGCGCGCCGCGGGACTCAAGGGGGTGACACATGCAGCCACTGGAACGCTCTTTCCAGTCGTTTCTCCTCGACTCACAGAGAAAAAGATTCCAATCCTGCTCCCCCCCACCCCCGCGCACCACATAGCCATGGTCAAGAAAACTCCTTTCCGTGACCCTTTTTTGGAGCTCCAATGTCCCGGCCGCTTCTGCCCGCTCGGAGAGGGGCTGCGCTCTAAGTTCAAACGTTTGTACATTTATGACAAAGCAGGTTGAAACTGGACTTACACTGATCCCCTCCATGGTAACCGCTCGTTCTCCAGACGCGGTGGCTACTGGAGCACTCAGGCCCTTGGGGTCACTTTGCTACCTGCTGCCGCAGCCAACAAACTGAAGTTTCTGGCCGCGGCCAGACTTTTATAAAAACACGCTCCGAGCGCCGCGCATGCGCCGCTGGGGCGCGGAGGGAGAAGGCGGGGTAGGGGAGAGCGGCAGACGCGAGGAAAGAGGGCGCCAGACGCTAGGAAGGAGGGCGCACGGGCGGGGCGGAGGGGTTCGCGGCTTGGGAAGCCCAGGGGACCCTGCTGTTCGCGGGTGGTCGGTAGTGAGTCTGGAGCGGGACAGGACCTCCCAGAGGCGTTTGCTAAGTTTGAGAAAAGCGGGATGCGCCTCAAGACAGGTGGGAAGCGCGGGCTAGGGACGCGTCTCTCTGTGGCGCGTCCATCCTTGCTAAAGTGGATGGAATTCCAGACTGGGGAATGCTACAGTAGAGACACTGAGGCCCAGGGAGGGGAAGTGACTTGCCGGAGTAACCCAACCAGTAGGCGGCAATGTTGGAAGTAGGGCCAAGCTTCCGACGCCATTCCCCGCGCTTTCAGCACACGCAGCCTATTCAGAAGAAAAAAGGAGTAAAGATCCTTCTTTCGGAGGATGTAACTATACGTGCACATTCACAGCATCACAAGGGTCAGGTGCAGATAATTAGGAGATACTTTCAGAAGAAGGTAGGATTTGGCATAATTCTGGAGACTGTGGTCAGACGTAGCTGTGCATTGCTCAGTAATTTCATAATAGTGGTAACCAATTCGTGAATAGTGCTTTATTATTCTATAACTATGCTTTATTATAAGAGTAATTTAGCGACCAGTACTTTTTGTAACAGATCACGAGGATCTTGCACAGAATCACTCATTCATTCTCACAACACCGTGTGGGTATTGCCATCACAGAGATGCGTTTAGTCAGATATTTATAGAAGGACGAACTGCGTGCCACGCACTGTTCTAGGCGTTGGGGATCCAGCGTGAACCAGACAAGGCCCGCATGCGGGGGAACCAGCAAATAAGCCCGGAGAGATGAAACGCCAGGGATGTGCAGGGATGCCAAGCCCGGCTTGAACCCAGGTCTTCGGTCCCCATACTCGGCGTCTTCCACGATTTTGAGCGGAGGACTAGCTTTGGCACGAATCAGAAATTAGGTTGAAGAACTGGGCGGGGCGGAGTGGGGGTGGGGGTCAGCGTTTAAAGCGATCCCAGACTGGCTGAGGTTTGCAGTGGGCGCGCAGACAGTGCTTTCCACCTCGCGCCACTTCCCGCTGCCGCGGAGACTGGGTGGGGCCGGGGAGCGAGTGTGGCGCAGGGCAGAGAAACTGCGCCCGCAGGCAGAGTGGCCGCTGCGGAGAGAGCTGGGACCGAGGTGCCTGCGCCGCGACACGGATCTCAGAGGCCCCCACCCCGAAACGGTCCCTAGGAGAGGAATTGCCCAGACTGCACCCTACGCACGACCCCTTTTTTCTGATCAAAAGAGGAAACATTTCAGTCTGGAGTGTTCCAGAGGTAGTTCGGAGGCAGGGAACCTTTTCTCTAGAGAGCATGACTTTCCCCCTTTGTCTGGGACCCCTCCCTAATGTTGGGGGTTGAAGGTTCTCATCTACTCTGCACTTTCACCGATACAGGAAAGATGATATCCGGGCTGGGAGATGGAACTCTCAGAAACGAACAAGTTAGGACACACACTAATGACCAGATAAAATCAATTCTAATATTACATTTGTGGAATTAAAAAAAAAAAAAAGAAACTCCAGGTTCTTGGAGGGTGGTGGCTGGAAGAGGTTTCGGAAGCTCCACGCCCCTTCTCACAGGCCTTACATTATGTATCTCTCTCTTCATCTGTATCCTTTATAATATCCTTTACAATAAACGATAACGGTAAGAAATAAAAATGAAAATAAAACCATAAAAACACTTTTACTTTTTTCAAATCTTTAATAAAACTTCAGGATCTTCATATTTTCATAGACACGGTAGATCCTACCTACTGAAGGTCTGGAATTTCAGAACATTTTCATGACTTGCTTTTCACAAAGCCTGGTAGTGGCAGAATCGGTGTGTTTTATCCTGGACCGTAAGCTGCACCGTACCTCAAAACTCCTCCCTGCACGATATCTAAAACCTGAAAGGTTAAATCTCCCAAATCTGTCCAAAAAGGGAAAGTGGATAAAACTCGGAGCAAAATGGTTTGCATAATAAATATTTTTGTTGATTGTTGGCAGACAAAAGAAAGCTCCTTCCTTTATCTGAAGACTCCTTTCAGATCTTTTTAGGGATCTCTACTAAAAGGAAGCAGATAATTAAAAGAACAATGAGATGCTATTTGGTGACTACCAAATTAGGCAAAAATCCATTTTTTTTTTCAAAGATAATATTTGGTCTCCGTATTTGAAAAGACCAGCTGTCTCTCTCTTGTCACTGGTGGGAATGTGGCTTGGGACAGCCTCACTGGAAAGCATTTTGTATTCAGCAGAAACTTTAGAACAGTAATTCCACTCATAGACACTTATGCCACAAAGGTATTTGTGGAAGCATTTTTTTTAAAAATAGTGAAATGTCTGAACATCCCTAAATAACCACTGTTAGTGGAATAGATGACAAGATTTTGGTTCATCCACATCTGAAATTCCATGTGGACATTGCGAATGTTATTTGTGAAGAATTTTTAGTGACATGGGAAAATATTTCTGAAACATTAAGGGCAAAAAGCAGGATTCAGAATTGTGTATGTAGTGTGATCTCAGTTATGTTAAAATATGCATTTGGAAAATATGGGAAGGAAAACCAAAATGTTTGTAGGAGTTTTCCTTGGTGCAGAATTATATTTGATTTTTGCTTTCTTCCTGGGGTTTTTCTATGCTTTCCAGATTTTCTGTAATAGACAATAATCATTTTCATATTCATAAAAAAGCCAACAAATTTTATGACCAAGAGGGATAAGAAGGCCTCCCTTCACGTATGTTTCCACTTCTAAAGTATCTACTAGATGTGAGACTTTTTTTCACAATAATTCTTTCCTCTTTTCAAGGAAGGCTTGTTTTCCAATGGGCTAATCTTAAACTTCTTTTGCCACTGGGCTACCTAAACCTAATTCTCAACTATTCTATGATGTTCTTTAAAAAACAAACAAAATTCAAACATTTATTGAGCACTTGTTATGTGTAACTGACCTCATATAATCCCCTCAATAACTCTACAAGGCAGGTGCCATTATCTTTATTACCTGGTAAAGAAATTAGGGTCTGGAGAGATGAGGAACTGGCCTGTGACCCCGGAATGAGGATCTGCACCCAGTCTGTCTGGCTCTGAAGCCCAGGTCATACTGCTTTGAGTGGCATCCCTTGTGATGTTACTCAACTTTTAAGTGAGTGTATGTCATACTCCTATCCCCCCAATATTTTAGGTTCCTTAAAGTGAATGCCCAGATATCCTCTATCCAGCTAGCCCACTGCTGAGCAAATACTGGGCTCCTTAATCTTTTACTGAACCTTTCTTTAAAGAATGAATGACTTTCCTGTGTGGCTCTGGCAACAGAGTCAGGTTTAGGGGCTGTCAGGGATTTGGCAGGGTCCCCAACTTCTCAGGTTGGCTTTAGCCCAGGGAATAACTAGCCTTGGCCACAGTTTGGAGGGGATGCTTACAAATCCAATGACACAGTGGCAAGCATCCTGCCACCTCCTGTTGCTCGCTCTGCAGCTGGTTGATTTGTGTGTTAGTGTGTGTGTATCTGTGTGTGTGTAATGAAAAGCTGTACTCTGTCCCTAAATTGGCTCCATTTTAGCTAGGCAGAAAGCTTAGGAACAGACCTTTCCCAGTGGTGGATGGCAGGAGGCTAGAGAAAGGAGGAGGTGCCAGGAGGAGGTGGATGGCAGCAGGCATTAAAGGCCTTCAGAATACACAGAGTCTTCCAGTTCCTTTGCCAGCCCCTCTCCTGTCTCTTAAAAAAAAAAATTGATCACTTTTGTTTCTGAAAGAGGAAAAAAGTACAAAGTTCCTTGATAGTAGTAAGGGATACTTAGAGAAAGTTAATGTTTTCCCAAGTGATTAAAAAACAAATAAACAAAAAAACGGAGACTATTTCTCAATGAGCGTGTAATTCTAACACAGGGTTACAAATCTCAAAGAGACAATGGTATCAAATGTCAACTATTTCCAAGCTGGTGTTAGGTGGAAGAAATTGTCCCTTGCCTAACTACACCCTGTCCTCTCCTCCTTCCCTAAATCCTTGTGTCCCCAACACCTACAGATGAAAAGTGACTTTGAAAGCAAACCCAAACCTTTCATCCTACAGCTCTTTGCCAATTTAGGGAATTATTACTGCTTTTTGGGGGAGAGCCATTTTTACTCTAGATTTAAGTTATATCTTGAATGTTGAAAAGGTCGGCCTTCACTAAAACGGGATGATTAGTGATTTCCGTCAGCGCTTTATAACAGTCAAGACTGGTCAACAAATTTCCTACACAAAGAGAATAAACTAGACTAGTACACAAAGGTAGGCAATTTAGAGCCATCCTGGTAAGTCATTTAAACAAAACAGCCACTTAATTAACAGTACAATGATCATTACTCCACTAGTTCCACCGCCAGGAGGATGATTGTTCACAAAGTTTGCTGTGCTCCTGTGGCAGGTGCTTGTGTGGCTTTATGGGTGTAAAGAACAGTAACAAACAGACTCAGTGCTGTTGCCTCAAAAATTATGGTGTCAAACTGGGAAGGAGGGCACTACTTTAGGAAATCATCGAGTGAGTGAACCCTGTCCTCCAGGGAAAAGGCTTGTCATTGTTTCCCTTAAACCGGTAATTTATTGGTGGTGACCTCAGACTGCTGTATAAAAAGAGGAAGCGCCTAGAGCCCTGTGGACTGTCAAGTTTTATAAAGAGAACTGGGCATCCCATAGCAGAGCCTTGGTGCTCCCAGAAATGTGGTGATCTGATCGCCCATTCAGATGGGCTTTGAGATCTTTCTGAGGTCATTCTTCCAAGAATATTATACTAGCAAAAGAACAGGGTGGGAATTACTTTTTGTATGTGTGTGTGTGTGTTTGTGTGTGTGTGTGTATGTGTGTGTAGGGGAATCCATACAATGTTTTGCTTGAGTTTTCTAAATCTAAAGCTATCTGTCAGCTATCAAAGCTGTGTCTTTGAGATTTGTAACCTTCTGTTAGAATTACATGCCCCTTGAGAAATAGTCTCCTTAAAAAAAAAACTTGGGAATGATCTTAGAGCTACTTGTAGGTCTAAGACACGAGTGACGACATCTAAAAACCTGCAGGTATTGTAAATGAGTGAGGCAATAGGGACTGGTGGAGACTGTGGAGAACCAAAGGGTGCATGCCCTGTCCTAAAGCAGCAACTACTACCCTCCATTGCCCTTTGAGGGAATTTGGGCCATACCATTCACCATTTTTTAAAGAGAAATTGAAAGTCTTGGTTTTTAAATATGAAATCTCTCAACTTAAAAATGTTGGTTCAAAACAAACAAACAAACAAACAACACAAAAGCTCTACTAGCTTCCAGTCTTCCAGTTTACACCGACCTAAGGTGTTGATGATAACCATCAAAAGGAAGTATGAGACCAGGTATTGTGGCTCATACCTGTAATCCCAGCACTTTGGGAGGCCGAGGAAGGCCGATCGGATCACTTGAGCTCAGGAGTTCGAGACCAGCATGGGCAACGTGGTGAAACCCTGTCTCTACAAAAAAGTACAAAAAAATTAGCTGGGGGTGGTGGTGCATGCCTGTAGTCCCAGCTACTCAGGAGGCTGAGGCAGGAAGATCACTTGAGCTTGGGAGGCAGAGGCTGCAGTGAATTGAGATCGCACCACTGTACTCCAGCCTGTGTGCCAGAGTGTCACCCTGTTTCAAAAAAGAAAACAGAAGAAGAAAAAAGAAAGCATGGGGTTAGGCAGCCAGGAGACTTGGGAGGATGGAACACACACACATGACAAGAACTGGCTGCAGAATCCTTTTGGGGTGGTCTCTTTGTCATAGTTAGTCTCTCTGAGACTGAAATTAGTCATTTGGAATTTCCGGGTCAGTCCTCCCTTGTGGCACGTAACTGCTCTCAGGTTAATGTCGGGGACCCTGAAGAGAATCGACAAGCTTTGTGTGACTCTTACCTTCCTCAACCCTTTTCCCATCCCCAGGTCCTATGCCTTCTTCACTGTCCTGATGTATGAGTGCTGGGTCTGCCTTTTCTTTCAGTTATTGTAGGACAATGTCCTTCAGGGAGAAGAACATTCTTCCTTCTTCTCTTTAAACAGTGGGAACAACAGCAGAAAGGAGGATTGCAAGCCAGACAGAGTAGCTTTGTGATTCAGAGCACAGCATCGAAGTCTGCTCAGACAGTGGCATTTGTTGTAGTATCATTTGTTGTAATATCCCACTAACAATAACATTCCACTTTTTGGATTATTGGGAAGATTAATATGATATCTATGTAAAGACTTTAGTACAGTGTGGGGCACATAGTAAGTGCTTAATAAACATAACCTATTACTAATATAGGTTCCTCTCTCTGCTGCTGAAATGTCTTTCTTGTTGGTAGAGGGCTTTGCTTAACCAGACAAATAGCTTTCTCCACCATTGCGCCCTGAAATGAGGTAAAGGGAAATGGAGTCTTAAATAAAGTGTGAAGTGTTCTTAGTTTTAATTGTGGTCGGAAGAGAGATCTAGGCAATGCGGGAAGGAAAGAGAAGTCATGAAGAATTTCTCAAACGTGCCTTGAAAGCCCTTCCTGTGTTTGCAGTCTCAGATTCAGGGTTGAAAGGGGTCCTCAATGCCATTTGGTCTCATTATCTTCCATGCATTGGAAGGAGCTCCTTTTCAGCAGGTGGTTCTGTCTCTGGACACTCCTGGCATGGGCAGTCCACCCTTTGGAAAGGGAGCAGATCCCACTGCTGGGCAAACCTGATCACTAGGCAGTCTTTTTTTTTTTTTTTTTTTTTTTGGCTAGGCACCTGTCTCTCCCGTTTTCTAAGTCTCTAAGTCTAACTTAGCTAGAGCTTGACTGGAGGATGCCATGAAAGGAAGCCAAGGACCACGGCAGCCAAAACCATCCTGAGGCTAAAGCAAAAGCTGTGCTTTCCGAGACACTTATTTCGGCAGCCACAGGGATGAGTCTAATGAGAGGTTTCTTTGTTCCATTAGCAAGTCTGAGAGGGGGATCTGGCCAGGTTAGAGTTTCTTTTCATAAAGGAAATTATCTCCAAACATAGAAGAGCTGGGGATTAAGTGACTCAGAAGATTTAGTGCAGGACTTTTTAAGGCCTCCTGAGACTTTCAGACATGCTTGCCTTGGCGAGAGAATGTGGGGAAGTAGCAGCTCTGGAAGCAGGTTAATAAAGAAGGCAATTAACCCCATCTTTGCTTGGTTTTGTGTTAGGCAACAGCGGGTTAAAATGAATACTTGAAAATTTGTCTGAAGATGTGTGCCTAAATGGGCTTCTTTTTAACAAGTGCCAATGGCTGCCTGGAGATGGCCTTGCCGTATCGTCTGCTCACCCCTGTAACCCCCTCCAATCACAAGCTCAGGCTGTTGCCTGGAATCTTTGTAAATTGGGTTTGTTCTGTGTCTGAGCAGCTTCTTTTTAAATGGAAGCCATGAAATTGCTTTCAGCGTCATTTAAAAATACCGAAGTAGAGTGCTTTGGGTTTCTTCCTGGTTTGTTCGCTCGTTGATCCTTGTGGTTAACCAGCTGCAGCATAATCTCCTGGCTGTGTTTGCTCCTGTCCCGTGTGCCCAGGGGCGCCCTCCGTGGCCTGCTTGCTATTTTGAGCCCAGGTGGGGTAACCCCTTGCGAGGAGTGGGCATCAAAAGTCCGCCTCTGCCCACATTGTCTCTTTTTGGTTGGGAAATTGGCTCACGTGTGGATAATTTATTGCTTGTTTGGGGCGGGGGAGACAGAACGAACTCCACAGAGACACTTTGAACAGCATGGAACAACTTGGATTAATCCTTTCCACAAACAGGGTTCCATTTGCATGAGGGGATTGCTGAGAGCTTTATCTTGGGTGATAAATGGCAGGCATTCTAGCTCCATTGGCGAGTATCGCCCCCATGCAGGTTTAGATTAGCCTTCTCCAGACTGAATAGGATTTTTGTTCTTGGCCAGGTAGATTTTCACTTCAGGGTTAGGGTTCAGGCAGCTGGTTACTTTTCTGAGGGGGCTTTTTTTTTTTTTTTCCTATTGCCTTTCACCCATCTGGGGTGTGCTAAGGTTTTTGTCTCAGTGTGGCAATTTTCCAGGCTAAAAAAAGAACCGCCCTCCCTCCTTCAACCAAAGCCTCCCCTGCCAACTTTTCTCACACACGTGTGCACACGAGAGCACGCACACGAGATCACAACCGCCCACCCCAGAAAATCCAGTTCTCTTGTGCTGCTGAATGTTTTGTTTTGCCTTCTCTCTTCTCTGTCATTTGCCTGCTGCTATTCCCTACCCTCAATTCTAGAAAGCGGAAATCCTACTCAGGCGCTGCCGTGGATTTCTCTTTAGGCTTCTACCTAGGAGTTCAGGTGCTGCAGGTCACCTGACTGGCCCAGAAAGTGAGAGGGGCTCCCTGGTCCCAGAAGGCAAAGCCCTCCTGTGCCTGTTTATGCTAAACCTAAACATTTAATTGATCCTGCTTTCTAGCAGGTCCCAGGAGACTTTGTCAGCCTCTTTCTTGGAAGCACAAATCTACAGAAGATATTTCTTCCAACCATTCTCCAACAATCAAGAGAGGTTTGTTGAACTCTACTTACTTTTAGTCGTTTGTATTGGGAAAACATGAAGTTGTTTTCCAAAGGTGAAAAAGTATATTGTTTGATCTATATTTTTTCAGAGTGTATGCTTCATTTTCTTCTTGAAAATCTGTTTTTTCCCCACCTTCAATCAGGGAGAATCTTAGAATGCTCTGGTTTTCTGACCTGTTGTCTACAGTCTCCGGGCCCATACCTTTGTGCCCCCCCGAGAACAGAACAGACTGTCTTGAATTAATTCTGCAGAAGAAAGAACTGAAAACGGGGGAGTGTGAAGCATCCCTAAGAATCAGAAATAAGCAAAACTCAGCCAATACGAGGTCTGAAATTTCTCTCCCACCCTCCTGCTGTCCCACTTTGTTGTAAGTATAAACAGCTCTCCTCTGCTTTGCCTAGCTAGCAAGCTAACGAGGGAAGTGGGTTTTTACTGTGCAAACTCTCCCTTCTGTATGTTGCTGGGGTGGGGTGCGCTGGGGGCAGATACATCTGTCTTTTCACCGGCCTGAGGCAGTAGCACAGGTCCTAGAATCTCCCTGATCCTGGATCATCTTCCAGAGTTTCCATGGAAGCTGAGGCAGCCCCAGCATGCCAGGCTTAGGCTACCTGGTGATGGATCCCCCACCCCCCAGGGGAGGACCCCAAAGAGTCCTTTGGGTGATGCTACTCTGGTTCTCTCCCCAGAAAACCTGGCTTCTGGAGGTGAAGAGGTTGAAGGACTCAAAAAAAAAAAAAAAATTTCCACCCAGGGAACCATCTGGGCAAAGACTTGGACGTGTAAAGCAGCAGGCTGCGCTCCGGAAACTGTAATAGATGGATCTCTCTGGGCGTGACTTGGTGTTAAGGGAGTAATGGAGATGTGAGTGAGCAGCAAATGAGCGAGTGGTGTAAGACGAGGAGCTCACCACACGCCACGAGGCAGCTATCAGGGAATCCCATTAACTATGTATGTAGCAGGAATGCTGTGAGAGCTGTCTAGGGTAATCTATAAGGCTATTTTGTAAACTAGAATAACATTAATTAAAAGTTAATTATCAGGCAGGGCGCAGTCGCTCACACCTGTAATCCCAGCACTTTGAGAGGCCAAGGCAGGCGGATCACTTGAGGTCAGTAGTTTGAGACCAGCCTGGCCAACATGGGGAAACCCCATCTCTACTAAAAATACAAAAATTAGACAGTCATGGTGACATGTGCCTGTAATTCCAGCTACTCTGGAGGCTGAGGCACAAGAATTGCTTGAACTCAGGAGGCAGAGGTTGCAGTGAGCGGAGACTGCACCACTGCACTCCAGCCTGGGTAACAGAATGAGCAGAATGAGACTGTCTTAAAAAAAAAAAAGAGTTAATTATCATAAAGATGAAATATTTTAATTAAATCTAGATTAAGTATAAGATGAAGGTGAGCATCTACCCGTTCTGGTTTCGTAAAGTACAGGAACCAATTTTCAGCCTAAAGACCCCAGCTCTGCTGTGAAAGGTGGGGGAGGTAAGGTGATTGAGTCTGCCACTGAAGAAAACCAAGGCTGGTGTTGAGTGTTCTCACGATGCCAGCAAGTTTCCTCGGTTCTTCTCCCTTGCAAATCTGCTACCCATACTCTCACACGGCCCAGGATCTGTCCCATCGCATTTTATTTTTTCCGTGTATCTTCATGACCTGCCTTCTCCTACAGTGGCTTCTCTTCCTGCTCCCTCTAACCCCTTTTGATTTCCTTCTCTTCTATTTCTGAGGTCTCTTCATTCTCCTCCTTCCTTCCATCTTCCTATCTTTCCTTCTTTTCCTCCCTTCCTTCCCTTCCTTCTTTCCACAAACTATTTTGAGTGCCTATAATGTGCAGAGTTCTGCTAAGCTCCGGGAAAGACATTAGATGAATAGCATACAGTCCTTAGCCTCAAGACACCTAAGTCCAGTATGGGAGATAAAATAGGGACATAAAAAACTGTGATATAAGCCAGAGCAGGATGGGCAGTGCAAGTGAAGTACAAACAAGGCCCAGCAGGGAAAGAGGAGGCCTTTCACATAGGAGAGGCATGTGAAGAATGGGTAGGTATGGATTAGAAAGTATTGAGCAGGAAGGAGGACAGCCTGACTCAAGTGAGAAGGCATGAATGAAAGGTTGGAGCTGCAAACAGGGATCAGGTAGTTTGACTACAATACAGGCTGGAGTTCTGTCTGCAGGGGTACATTAGGCCAGAGCATAGATGGTTTTATAGGCAGGGCTGAGAGGTCTGGACTTTATTCTATCAAGTAACAGGAAAACTGTGAAGATTTGGGGTTGGGGAATCATATGCTCAGAGCTTGACTTTAGAATAATTAACCTATAAATGTAGTGTCAAATGGATTGGAACGAGAAAGCTAAGGTGGAGAGACCAGACAGAAATCTATCTGGATAGCTCGGGTGGAAGGTTGTAAAGGTCTGGGCTAGCCACACATGGTGGCAATTGCAAGGCTGCTAATGGGTGGAAGAGATCTTGGAGAACCAGCATCTGCTGACTTGTTGACGTGGCGCTGAGAAAGAAGGGGGAGGTGAAGGGAGACTGGAATTTCAGCAAAGATATGAAGAATGGAGGTCAAGGGAAGAGACTATTTCGGAGGGGAGGGGATGCTGTTTAGAGAAAGTCTGAAGGCTTACCCTTGTATTTTTCAAAGTTTGTATGTTGGTTTCTCAGCCACCACCTGCATCTGACTTGTGGGCTTTTGTGTAGCATGATGATATCCTGTTACTGATGTCATTGAAGTGACTTCATCTCCTTTCACATCTCAAACAACAACGATCAGAGGTGGCAAAACTTGGCAGACAAAAAAAAAAATGCAGACTTTGAGATCCTTTCCTTACATTTCTAAGGTCGCTACCTGGGTAAGGCCAAATCTGGATTTTAGGGGGAAGGACACTTGTTAGATCAAAGAAATCAGTATATGGATATCAGTTAGTGCTGGGGACTTTTTTCTATGGGAGGAAAGGCAGGAGGAAAGAAGTAGGTGTCACAAGGAGCTCAAATAAGAGTTCAAATCAATGTCTGTGATGTATATAATAGTTCCAGTACAATCATGTGTAAATTTTATGGTTAAAGATGAATTACACAGAAAATAAGGAGTTGATGGCGTCCACCATCAGACCAATAGAATCAGAATAAGCAGGGTTGGGGCTCAGTAGTTCAGATGAGAAACAAGTTGTTCCAACCCAGTGTGCCCTGGGAAAGTTTTGCAGGACAGATGGACTCTGCAGCTGAGCTTTACGGCAGGCCACATTGCCACTACATCACCCCACCTGCTTCCTGGTTGGGCACATTGTTGGAATGTCACACCAAGGCGCCCGAAGTTTAAATACTTTCAGGACTCCTTAACTGCAAATATAATTTTTAGCAGAACATTGAAAGTAACTTGCTCTAGACTTATGCCTTTATCTGTAAATTTTGCCACAGTTGTTCTTAAGGAAAATAGGCACCTTTTGCTTCCAAACCTTGGGTCCCTTATAACCATTGCTTTGCCGAGTGTCCTGGTCTACTTTCGAGTGTCCAACTTTGGTTCTCAGAGTGCAGTTCCAGGCTGACCCTAAATATAACTTGTTATTATATCTAGGTTCTCAGACTGTGGCTCCATTCTTCACATCTTAGCTGAAGTTCCAGGCTTCCTTCACCTCCTCCTTCTTTCTCACATCAGTGAGTCACCATATGCTGGTTCTCCAAGATCTCTTCTATCCATTAGCAGCCTTGCAATTACCACCACTGTGTGGCCAGCCCAGACTTTTAGAACTTTCTACCTGAGCTATCCAAATAGATTTCTGCTTGGCCTCTACACCTCAGCTTTCTCCTTCTCATCCATTTGTTTGTTTTCAGACCCATTTTCTCTTTCCTTCTTGGCCTCAGATCATGTTGCTGGTCCTTCGGTTACTTACCAGTGGCTCACCTCAAACATTGCTCTTCCACAGTGGGGTTTCTGAGTGATTTACTGGAAAGGGGAATGTTGGGGTAAGGTGGACTGGCTTTGACTCTGTCGGGTGGTGCAGGCTGGTTCTCAATCTGTGGGCAGTGGACCCCAAGGGAAGTTATTGCGAAGGGTCTAAACACCCCCAAGTGCCAAATCTTCCTGTAGATTGAATATATAATGTGCTACAATTTTTGAAATGCATGTGGATGCTATTGTGATTCATAAAATATGGAATTGGTTTGGAAGTGTCTTGAATTCATAGGAGTTTTTGTGTGTGTGTGTTAGTGTGTTTAAGAATGTTGTTCAGGCTGGGCACAGTGGCTCATGCCTGTAATCCCAGCACTTTGAGAGACTGAGGTGGGTGGATCACCTGAGGTCAGGAGTTTGAGACCAGCCTGACCAACATGGTGAAACCCCATCTCTACTAAAAATACAAAAAATAGCTGGGCGTGTGGCAGGCGCCTGTAATCCCAGTTACTCAGGAGACTGAGGCACGAGAATCGCTTGAACCTAGGAGATGGAGGTTGCAGTGAATCAAGATAGCACCACTGCACTCCAGCCTGGGTGAGAGAGTGAGACCCTGTCTCAAAAGAAAAAGAAAAAAAAAAAGCCAAAAACGAATCTTGTTCGTCAACAGACATTACCACACTACCAGCAGATCGGCTTTCATCTGGTGGTTCATGAAACTTTGTGGTTGTTAAAAGTGATCTTCATGTTCCGCAGAGGAAAGGCAGCCCTAGAGGGAATATAGTTTTTGTCTGGTGCCCAGAGCCTATCTACCTCTACTTAGGCTGCCAGAGAATGGAGCTTGGGACATGACCAGTGTGGAATAGGATGGAAAAAATATTTATCTGTACACTGATCACTACAGTGCTTTCAGCAGGGAGCTATCAACCAAGAACCAACCACGTAAGGGGGTTGTTATTTGGGTAGGAGCTTTCAGGTTCTCTAAACCTACCTCCCACTCTGGGTAGGAATCCTTTATGGAACCTCCCTGTGGGATGAACATTAGCTTAGCCCTAGTCCCTGCGTAACAGGTAGCCCTGTTTACTACAAAGTAAATTCAGATTCCAGAGCCTCCACCTCGGTTGTTTCTGATTTGGCAGGGTTGGGGCGGGGCTTTGAGCATTTGTCTTTTCAAATAATGCTCGAGGTGATTCTGATGTCAGCCAGAGTTGAGTGAGAAGATTGTTATGAAAGGACACAAATACCTCATCACGGTGCTTTTTGTTTGTGAAGTGCTCACTAAGGCGTGAACAGCGTCATGGTGGGGCTCCTGCAGGCTTTATATTTACACCCCGTTTCTTATTTCTCACACCCACTCTGGTAGATAGATCCCTATTTCAAAAATGAGTGAATTAGGGTTCAGGGAAGTGAAACCTGTGTGCCGGCTGGGGACTGACGGTTGGAACCCCAATGTACAAATGAAACCAGGGAACAGTGGGTGTGACGAGCACTTGAGGAGCGACAGACAGTTATGACCTCGAACCCACAAGTGAGACTGCAAACACAAATAGGCGGGAGCCCAGCAGCAGGAGACTGACGCTGCTGGAATCAGGGCAGGGGCACTGCTGTTTAAGAGTTTCTGACACACTCAGTTCCTCCCCTCATCCTAAGAGACCTGGGCTCACTAGCAGAGGGGCTTTGGCAAGTTACTTGATGAATTAGGGCCTCAGTTTCTTCATCTGTGAAGTGGAGATAATAATAGTGCCTACCTCCTGCTGTGAGTCTAGTCGTCAATATCAACATTGGTGGTACACCTGCTCGATACCAGTCCTGGGGTGGGGGTGCCCCTCTCTAGAAGATAAAAGCTC